AAAGTATACAGAGACTTTGGTACACCATTTTCCTTAAATCGGACGAAAATATATATGGGAGTTATATCTAAATCTGAACCGATTTTTATGAAACTTAGCACACACCATTCTAGGCTTAATTATGTACGCTGTGCCAAATTTCGTGCAAATCGAAAGATATATAGGGAATTTGGTGCACCATTTACCTTAAATCGGACAAAAATATATATGGGAGCTATATCTAAATATGAACCGATTTTTCCCAATTTCAATAGGGTTCGTCCTTGGACCAAATAAGTGACGTGTGCCAAATTTCATCCAATTCGGATATTAAATGCGACCTGTACTTTGTTTACAATTTAACATGGACAGACAGACGGACGGACGGACATGCATAAATCGACTTAGAAAGTGATTCTATGCATATTCTCAAAAGGAACCATGTGTCTATCTCGTTTCCTTTTGCCTGTTACAAACATATGCACAAAGACATAATACCCTGTACCACAGTGTGGTGAAGGGTATAAAAAACCAAATTACAAAGAATTTGGTTGAAAACCCCGCTCAAGAACCCCAAAATACCGAAAATTGGGGGTTACCCGAATAAATTGACCTATATTTATAATTTATAGTGGAGAGATTTGCTATCTAATAAGAACTCGACGTACTAAATTACAGTCAATTCGGTCGAAAAATACGATCAGAACTCCCAAAATACCAAAAATTTGGGGTACCGTTATATGGGGACTACCAGAAAAACTGGACTTATATTTATAATTTTTAGTGGAGTAATTTGGTACCCAATAAGAACCCAATGTACAAAATTTCAGAGAATTCAGTAATAAAACGAGCTCAAGAACCCCAAAATACCGAAAATTGTGGGTACCCTTATATGGGGACTATCCGAAAAAATTGACCTATATTTATAATTTTTAGTAGGGAAATTTGCTACCCAATAAGAACTCAAAGTACCAAATTTCAGCGTATTCGGTCCAAAAATGCGATCAAAACCCCCAAAATATCGAAAATTGGGGCTACCCTTATATGGGGACTATCCGAAAAAATGGACCTATATTTATAATTTTTAGTAGGGAGATTTGCTACCCAATAAGATCTCAAAGTACCAAATTTCAGCGAATTCAGTTAAAAAACATGCTAAATAACCTCAAAATACCGAAAATTGGGGGGTACCCTTATATGGGAGCTATGCCTAAACGTGGACCGATTTTCTCCAATTTCAATAGGGTTCGTCCTTGGGCCAATTAAGTGACCTGTGCCAAATTTCATCCAAATCGGATCGTAAATGCGACCTGTACTTTTTTAACAAAAAAACATGGACGGACGGACGGACGGACATGCATAAATCGACTCAGAAAGTGATTCTATGCATATTCACAAAAGGAACCATGGGTCTACCTCGATTATTTTTGCCTGTTACAAACATATGCACGAAGACATAATACCCTGTACCACAGTGTGGTGAAGGGTATAAATATATATATATATATATATATATATATGGCCGTATGGATAGATATCGACACTTTCCAATTTAATGTCAACCCAATATATCAAAAATATGGCCTCGTCATTTAGAAAACATTACTGGAACTTTTAAAAGTTCAAATATTGGTAGTAACATTATAAGAGCGCAATACCAAAACTTTAAGAAGCAGATCCGAAAGTTTAGCCTTTATTGTTGAACTACGCATTATTTTCCTCAATAATTAATATTGTGCGATATGTATCATTTTTACGAAATAGACTTTATCCCCCGTTTCATACTGCCCCCATTTATTTAGTAATAATTTGAAGTCGGACTTCGTAACATCCCAAAGGCATTTTCGTTCAGAGACTTTTGAGTTTATGGGAAACATATAAAGCAACAATTCATATCTATGTTATATACACATTTTGAACAGAGTAATTAAATGCGTTTGCAATGCATTGATGTGGAATTATGTGCAAATATATAAACTACAATTTCGCAGTGATTATAATGAGTTCTGACACAAAACTCCTTTGAAACTGTGCATATGCATATTTTTTCAAGAGTGTTGTCATCTATCTATTAAGTTTACTATGAAATTGATTTATGTCCTTTGGGATATGCATTTGAAATGAATATGGTTTAAATATTTATATATGTATGCACGTATCGATTATTTGTTTATATTATATTTTATGTTTTGTAGTTCTTCTATGCCTTTTACCAAATGACAAATATTTCAAATTATTAAAATATCTAGAGGAATGAATAATTTTAAATAATTCACATAGAAATTGTAAGTTTTTTTTCTTCACCACAAAAGTTCAATTTATTTATATTATATTTTATGTTTTGTAGTTCTTCTATGCCTTTTACCAAATGACAAATATTTCAAATTATTAAAATATCTAGAGGAATGAATAATTTTAAATAATTCACATAGAAATTGTAAGTTTTTTTTTCTTCACCACAAAAGTTCAATTTATAAATGTCAATGAATCTTAACATTTATCAATTTTACGTGTTTCCGTACAACTGAACAAATTGTTTCTTAATCCTACTAAAATTTGATAGACATATTGAGGTGTTTACCAATAATTGTCAAAATTATCAATTGGTACAAAATTCAGTAGTTTACAAACCGATAACTAAAAACATCCATGCACAAGAACGAAAAGAAGAGGAATCAGTAAGGAAAGTAGTAAAGTCGGACTGGGCCGACTATATGATACCCTTCACCACTTTGGGTATATTGTACATATGTATCCTAACAATTGCATGCCTATGTTCCCTCTTTCTCCAACCTATCCTAACTTTAATTTCATTCGAGCAGATTTAGAGCCGTCTGCGAAACATGGGGAAAATTTATGGAAAACGATTTATAGCAAAATTTATACACGCTATTCGGTACGCCGCGTTGTTAAAAATACAATCTATATGTGCGAGCTATATTTAATCTGAACCGGTTTTCACACATCCTTCTAGACTTAATTCAGTACGCTATGCCAAATTTTGTGCAAATCGAAGGATATATATAGGGACCTTGGTGCACCATTTACATAAAATCGGACGAAAATATATATGGGAGACATGTCGAAATCTAAACCGATTTTCCCGAAACTCACCACTCATCATTCTAGACTCAATCCAGTACGCTATGCCAAATTTCGTGCAAATCGGAGGATATAAAGGGACTTTGGTGCACTCTTTACGTAAAATCGGACGAAAATATATTTAAGAGCTATATCTAAATCTCAACCGATTTTCACAAAATTTAACACACATCGTTCTAGACTAAATTCAGCACGCTATGCGAAATTTGGTGCAAATCGAAGGATACAAAGGGATTTTGGTACACTATTTACCGAAAATTGGGCGAAAATATATATGGGAACTATATCAAAATCTGAACCGATTTCCACGAAATTTAACACACATCCTTCTAGACTTAATTCAGTACGCTATGACAAATTTCGGCCAAATCGAAGTATATATAGAGACTTTAGTACACCATTTACCTTAAATCGGACGAAAATGTATATGGGAGCTATATCCAAATCTGAACCGATTTTCACGAAACTTTACACACATCATTCTAGACCCAATTCATTACGCTGTATCAAATTTCGTACAAATCGAAATATATATAGGGACCGTTTACATTAAATCGGACGAAAATATATATGGGAGCTATATATAAATCTGAACCGATTTTTCCCAATTTCAATAGGGTTCGTCCTTGGACCAAATAAGTGACCTATGCCAAATTTCATCCAAATCGGATCGTAAATGCGACCTGTTCTTTGTTCACAAAAATACATGGACGGACAGACGGACATGCGTAAATCAACTCAGAAAGTGATTCTATGCATATTCTGAAAAGGAACCATGTATCTATCTCGTTTCCTTTTGTCTGTTACAAACATATGCACAAAGACATAATACCCTGTACCACAGTGTGGTGAAGGGTATAAAAATCATGCAAAACATTGACTTATATACCTGGACTGTCTGAGAGATTACGTAATTCGAATCTTTATGACAAGAATAATTATCAATTTGCCTTAAAATCAAAGAATGCCGTCCATTGCCTGTTCAGCAAAACAAAATCAAAAAGGAAGACAAGTGCAATGTAGTATATAAGATAAAATGTACAGTGCACCGTGCAAAATTTCGTGCAAATCGAACGACTTTGGTTCATCACAAAATCGGACGGAAATATATACGGGAACTTATCTAAATCTGAAACGATTTCCACGAATCTTACCACACATCATTCTAGATTCTATGCATATTCTCAAAAGGAACCATGTGTCCATCTCGTTTTCTTTTGTCTGTTACAAACATATGCACGAAGACATAATACCCTGTACGCTGTGGTGAGGAGTATAAAAACGGCACCATAGTCAATTTTTTAATGAATTACAGCGCTACCTTTGAATGGATACACATGTTATTGATCTACGTATACTTTCTTAGTTATTGACCGTAGGGTTAACCATAATATTAAGAAAAAATGTCTGCTGGCTTGTCCTGTTTTATACTAGAATAAGGCTAAATATATTGGAACGCGTTAAACGCCTTAGGGACGCATCGGACCCAACGGATGTCGGAATCTGAGTAAGTATTTCTGATCATTATCTTAAAGGCCCTAAGATTTCATTAAATGTTGTAAAAATTAATATACCTTTATAGGAAGGTTTTGCTTTTAAATGATCTGGCATGTCGAGCACAAAAAATTTTAGCCTTTACTATCACGCACTGATCTTGATAAAGGCAGCCTTTCTCTTTAATTTTACTAGAAAAAGTAATCTAAATACTTTCCTTTTTAACATATATGTGCTAAGAAAAACACGTACAATCTCATTTCTTTTTCGATCCACAAGGCTATATGTGCTCGAATTTTATTTCCAATATTTTTTGGGTATTTGGAATGAAAGCACCTGACCCAATAATTTGTTTCTTTTCTTCCCCATTTAATAATATTTTGTTTTTATTTCTGTTATAGCAGTTCAAATAGATATTTACTTACCGCATCAGGATTGCTGGGGAAATCAATAAAAGGTGGAAATGATCCTGGTTCACCCTTAGGACCAGCAGGACCCGGTGGTCCAGGTGGACCACGTATACTGTCACCAGGTGGTCCCTTGGGTCCGCGATCACCCTTTTCACCTTTAATTGTGCGATAAGCTGAAATGAAAATGAAAAAAATACATTCAATTATTAAGGCTGTTATTTAAAGTGTAAAATAATTTAAAATATATTTTTTCATTGCAAATAAATATACAATAATATAAAAATATCACCAGCGATTCCATCAACCAATTAATATTATGAAACATTCCTGCATATGTATGTGCGTATGGGCGTAGCAAAAATATTCACACTGAATTATTATGCAAAATGTTGACTTTTGATTGTTGACTCATGCAATTTGGTGTGGCCGCATCATGTCATGCTATTACATATTTTACATCGGGCCTTTTTCTTTGTAAATGTATTTAAGAACTACGGTATGTTTTGATATTGATAACAATTGAATGTGTCGGTAGCCACAAATATCACTTTCAACATCCACCTACAACATTTTTTTTTTTCATTTTTTTCGCATTCATGTATGTGATATTTGTATAAATGGATTGCTATTTTGCCACTTCGCATCAAATTGAATGTATATAAATATTCTCATTCCGTTTGCAACAAGTCGAAATATTCGTCTGAGTTAAGTATGGGGGTCTCCATTAGGATATTTAGTATTGAAAATGGAATATATCAGCGACAGCTTACAAATAACTGTACCGCCCCCTTTTCTGTATTTCTAAGATTATAATTGCATTTTCCAACCGTAAATTGACATGACGGTTTCTTGGTGGGAAACAATTGGCACATAATGTTCTCGATAGACTTTAGATATTTGTAATGCACATCCCATGGTGGAGGTATACAGATATATTCCTTCAGCCAATGCCATTTGTAATATCCAAACTTTTGCAAACTATATTGAGACAGTTTCGGAGAGGGAAAATATAACATTTTGAGCACACAGTATTCAACCTCAGCTTTGTGTTTTTATACCCTTCTCCACACTGTACACCGGGATATTACGTCTTTGTGCATGTGTTTGTAACATGCAAAGGAAAACGATATAGAACCATAGTTATTTTTGAGAATCACTTTGTGAGTGGATTTATGCATGTTCGTCTGTCAAAGTAATCTTGAGAACAAAGTACTAGTCGCTTTGGTACAGCAAATTTATTTGTACGCCTAAAGACGAACCCTATAGAAATTGGTAAAATCGGTTAAGATGTAGATGTACTTCCCAGATATAGTTTCGTCCGATTTTATATAAATAGTCTTCGAAAGAGTCAATGTTTTTTTTCGATTTATACGAAATATTGCATACATATATATTTTCATTCGATTTCCTATTAATAGTGTACCAAAGTTGGTGATTGTCAAGCTTCAAATCGGCCAGATTTACATATAGCTACTATACATAATTTGTCACCACATGTAAGTTTGCATAGATTTCAATATCTATATTGATCACATGCCTAATTTCGTTCGATTCCATTCCAATGGTACTCCTGTTCTATTGACAGGATATTTTGTATATTAGCATCTTTGTATGTACCCAAAGGGGCTGAAGGGTATCGTATAGTCGGTTCCGCCCGACTTTTGAACTTCCCTTACTTTTTTTTATTAAAGAGTTGACCATTTGTGTTTGAACATTAAAATCTACAATATATCCGAAAATGGATTTAATGATGGTAGATTTTAATGTGAAGGGTATAAACATTCCGGACAGACCAAACACATTGATGATGGTTTTTTTCTTCTCAGTTTTTTTCCTATATCTATGTCAACATTCAATGTTGAATGTTTGCTTTTCGTTACCACGCAACGACAAAAAGGTGTTACCAATACGTTTGATTTTTTTCTCGTTTTATTTCACGTTCTACATTCACTTGTGTATTTACATGTGCGATGGGTGTGCATGTATGTGTAATTCCATTTGTAAGCGAGAGTAGAATTTGTAAAGTAGCATGTAATATTTTTACAATAAAATGGTTATTTTAAACTTGATTAAATTCTTCAACTTCCGCTACTGCTGTTAATTGTAGAGTTTTCGTTCATAACATCAGACATAAGATCAAGTTAACCAATGAGTTATAGAGGAACGGAAATTTTCACTGAAACTTGGACCAATATTGATCATTTTTGATAAGGATTCGCTCGCCCAATGAAAACCCAAAATAACAAATTAGGAATAGAAAGTTCAAAAGTCGGACGGGCCGCCTATATGATACCCTTCACCACTTTGGGTACATACAAGAGATGCTCATATGTACATATACATAGCATCTTTGGGTGGCAATTGAAATGTAATCGGACGAAATCTACTCATCCACATACCATTCTGGAATTTATGAAAAATTGAATGTCAATCATTTGCATGAAATCGAGCAAAATATATATGGTGTTATATATAAATGGAGGTATTTGAGCAACCGCAGCACAGTGCGCTATCCAAAGTTTATCTCGATACGAAATTCAATACACATGTATACTAGGTTCCGTTGTCCTAATAATACGTTATTGGTGGAACAGTTATTTGGTGGAACATTAAGTGAAATCCAATGAAAATATATATGGAAGCTATATCTAAACTTGAAACGACTTCAATCCAATACTCTATGCAATATTTCATGTAAATTGAACAGACGTAGGCTCCTCCATTTGCATCAATTGTATGTGGCAGCTATATCTACATCTGAACCGAATTCAACAACAAAATATCGTGCAAATAGAACAGGATCTATGGGACTAAAGTATATATGTGAGAGCCATATTAAAATCTGAACGTATTTCAACAAAACAAAATTTTGTCTCATTTTTGTTTCATTTACATAAACTCGGACCTGGAATATGGGAGCTATATCTAAATCTGGACCAATTCCAACCAAACATCCTATAAATCAATCGGGGACTAATTCAGTGCACTGTGCAAAATGTTGACTTAATCGGACACACATTGGCAGTACGATGCTACATTTACCTAAAATCGGACGGAACTATATATATATATATATAAATCTGAACCGATTTCAACAAAATTTCGCATACATCAATCAGTACTCTGTGCAAAAATTTGTCCCAATCGGAAAAATATTGGCAGTATGGTAGTCCATTTACATAAAATCGGACGAAACTATATATGGCAGCTATATCGAAATCTGAAACATTTCCAATAAAACTTGGCATGCATCAATCAAGACATAATTCAGTACTCTGTGCAAAATTTTGCCTCAATCGGACCGAATATTGGGATTTTGGTGCATCATTTACATAAAATCGGCGGTAACTATATATGTAGGAGCTATATCTAAATCTGAACCGATTCCAGCAAAACTTCGCACAAATCAATATGGACCCAATTTAGTACGCTGGGCAATTTTTTGTCTCTATCGGACCAATATTGAGATTTTGGTGCACCATCTATACAAAAAATCGGAGTTAACTATATATGGAAGCTATATCTAAATCTGAACACATTCCAACAAAACATCACACAAATCAATCTGGACCTAATTCAGTACGCTGTGCAATTTTTTGTGTCTATCGGACCAATATTGGTAGTTTGGTGCACCATTAACATAAAATCGGAGGTAACTATATATGGCAGATATATTTAAGTCTGAACCGATTTTTTGAATGGTATACAAATGTGGGCTTATGTATTACGATAATATTTACCAAGCATCCAACGAACAGTAGCAATGCGTGTGCAAAGTTCCAAGGCTCTATCTTAGATATTGCGAGCTCAATTATTTGAAGGGACCTTTGAAGGCGACCCTCCATTCTCGATTTCAAATTTTTATGATTTTCAACCGGCTGGACGTGCGTTACATTGAGGATTTGTAAACTTGAAAATAAGCACTTGAAGCCTTAAAGGACGAATTGGGATAATTTTATTGTTACTGTTTTGTATTTTTTCTAATTAACAAAAAAAAAGTTTGAGTATAACTTTTGCCGGTGCTTTATGTTGACACAATAAATCGAAAATATCTTCAAGAGTTTTTGAGATTTTCATTTGAAAATTGAAAGGGAAATTTTTGAATTAGTGTTGGTAGAGGAAATAGAGGACCATAATTCAAATATTGGAAACCGAGAATCGGGACGATCCCCTTAAGTCACTTTTTTTCAGAAATCGATTTTGGACCATAATAAAAATAGGTTAGGTCTTGGCCATTCAAATCTTATATTTCTAGTTGTGGCAGTTTGTGATGTTATTTTTAAAATTTTTCATTGCTGATTCCAAATATTTATTTATAGAAACGACGAGAAATTGCAATAAAATGTGGAAGCATGTGCACAAATCTCTATTATATTGAATAGACAAATAATACAATTGGACCAGCATACCAATAATATAACATGTTATATTGAATATATATGTATAATATACCTTAAACACAGCAACAACATGAATGTGTTTCGTACAACATAGATTTCGTGTAGTATGAGTTTTTCATCTATACATTTTGTGGGTACATTTGATTAACAAATTTCGTCAGTTTCAATTCATAAATGATAAACATAACAAGGGAATAAGCGTTAAGTTCAGCCGGGCCGAACTTTGGATACCCTCCACCATAGATATACTGACAGGTACTAGAAATGAAAATATAGGGAACATACCAAAAAGTGGACCTATACCGACATTTCTATGTAAACTATAATACAAATTTCAGAAATTTTTAATGGATAATTATACCCTCAGCCTTATGGCTAATGAGGGTGTATACAATTTACACCATGAAAATGTGCCTCATCGAAATATTGGTTCTAGACCCCATGTTTCTTTGGACCAAATCCGTTTCAGAAAATTTACATTTCATTCAAACTTTGCCAATCTTATTATTTTTTCCAAACTTAGTTCAAATTCGAAGATAGGGAATATCGGTCCACTCCTTCTGGTACCTCCCACACAGGGGCTAGGTTTAAATACGGGTTATAGTTCATATATAGTTCATTATCGAACCTTATGTTCTAGTTTTTTATCTCGATATCCTCCACAGGTGATATATTACAACAGAGTTTTAGAACCAAAACGCGGAACAAATTTTTTATATAAAAAAGGGGTTATATGGGGACTACCCCAAAAAAGGGGTACATATTAAAAATTTTTTGTAGAGAAATTTGTTACCATATTCGACTACAAAATACCAAATTTCAGCGAATTCGGTTGAAAAATATACCGAAATTTGGGGGGTACCCTTATATGGGGGCTATCCGAAAATATGGACCTATATTCATAATTTTTTGTGGAGAGATTTGGTACCTATTAAGAACTCAAAATACTAAATTACAGCTAATTCGGCGGAAAAATACGTTAAAAACCCCCAAAATACTGAAAATTAGGAGGTACCGTTATATGGGGGCTACCAAAAAAAGTGGACCTATATTTATAATTTTTTGTGGAGACATTGAGTACCCAATAAGAACCCAATGTACCAAATTTCAGCGAATTCAATTGAAAAACGCGCTCAAGAACCCCAAAATACCGAAAATATGGGGGGTACCCTTATATGGGAGCTATGCCTAAACGTGGACCGATAAAGCCCATCTTCGAACTTGACCTGCCAGCAGACAAAAGACGACTCTATGCAAAATTTTGGCGATCTATATCAATTCGTTTAGACGCTAGAGTGATTACAACAGACAGACAGACGGACATGCTTAGATCGTCATAGAATTTTACGCTGATCAAGAATATATATACGTTATATATGCGTTACAAACGGAAAAACAAAACTAATATACCCTCCATACTATGGTGGAGGGTATAAAAATAAACGATGGGAAATAGGGCGACTGAAATTACAGTTGGGGGAAAAAATTATACAAAAGACATATATATATATATATAAATCCTCTATGTTATATCCTCTATAAAGATATGGCAAA